CCAGAGAGCCCTGGCCTTTCCTGGCTCCTGGCGGTGAGAGGAAGGAAGGTTTGAGGTAAACACATTGGGAGCACAATGGCCAGAGCTCTCGGGGCCAGGCTGCTGGTGCTGCAGGACTACCACTCTCCTTCCGCAAAAGCTGCCAGGGTTATCCGAGGTTATCAGCAGCTGCTGAGGCCCAAGCGTCGGCTGGTGTTGGTGGCTAAACTTTGGGGAGTGGTGGCTGCAGCATACAAGTGACCAGCCGCAGTGACCAGGAGGGCCAGTGCAGGCCAGACCAACATGGGAAGGGCAGTGAGTGAGCAAAACACCCAGTGCTTCCTCCTCCTCAGCACTTTAGCTGGGCGCTGCCTCTCTGTCAGCCTCTTCCATTTTTCTCTTCCTCAAAACCCCTGAGAATATCCTGGTGGGGTGGGGGTGGGGAGGTCAGAGTGACTCAAGAGGCAAAGACCTTCCTTCTTCTTTGAGATCAGGGCAGGGTCTACCAGATATGATGTGAACGGCCCCAAGAATCCTCTCTTTGGCCAACAACAGTGCCTGAAACACCCCATTGTACCCCTGCCCTCCCGTTGGACACTGTCCCACCTCTCTGTCCACCCAGGGAGCAAAAGCAGCAGTCAGCCCACGGGAGGGAAGTTATGAGACCCCTTCCTCTTCACAGGAAAAGGGAAGGGAGGTTGCAGGAAGTCTGCTTCCCCAAGTGCACAATCCAGCCGCCAGCTGCCTGGGTCGGGCCAGCTGTTCCAGCCTTCCCAATAGTCAAGCCCTTTCTCCAGACCAGGGGAAGACCCAGTTCTCAATTTCCTTCAAGTTCTTTCTTGCCAAGGGTCTGGCTTCTGCCAACCTCCCAGGGCAGGGACTGGGCATCTGCAGGGGACCGTGAGCTGGACTCTGGAGTCTGGCAGATCCCTCGGTTCCCCGGGAGACAAAGGGCTAGAGAAAAGGGGACTCTGGTCTCAGTTGCCAAGTCTGGAAGACAGGGCGAATAATCAGGGGCTCCCAGAGCCTAGGCTCAGGGTGGGGGCCGAGGGAGGGGAGAAAGGGGAGCAGCCCCTACTCCAGCCTGCCTCCACACCCAGATTGGAGCCCCCGCCCAGGCTCCCATGCTTCCCACCTTTCCCTCTGTCCCTTCTGAAGTCCTGCAGCTAAGGACGCTTACGTCCTGCTCGGTTTCATCTTCACCCACAGTCTTGTACTTCTGGAGCCAGTGGTCCTCAGGGCTCACCAGCCAGGCATGCATCTCAGGTTAGGATTCTGTGAAGGGGGCAGAACTCAGGAGGGAAGCGAGATGGGACGCTGAGCATGACTTGTAGCAGGGCCTCGGCCAGCCCTGAGATTTCCTGGGTCAGTCACTGGCTGCAAGCTGGGGGCTGAGGGAATGGTTCTGGGATAGGTAATCTGCCAGACCAGACTGTTGGGCCAGGATGATTCTCTAGAGAAGCAGGAACAGTGAACTTTAGCAGCCACGGTCACAGATTAAGCGGTCTAGGTGGGATACACACAGCAGCCACTGTATCCACTTCACTCTGGGTGGGGAAATCCCAGGAAGCCTGCTAGGCGCTGGCCCACAGAACCACTTCAGCCAACTGTCCTACTGTCCTGTCTCCAGATATGCATGGGGTCCCAGAAATGGGTGAAACAGCAGCAGAGGCAGTGCCAGACCCCAGCCTAGTACCCTCGCTTCTCGAATGGGGATCTGCCTGTACCCTGCCCTGGACTTTCACACTGGCTGCACCATGTGTGTAAGTGGGTGTTTGGAGGGTGGGGTGGGGAGAGGGGCCACAAATCATGGAGTCTCAAGAACAAGGAAACTAAGCATGGTTGCTGGCCTCACCTGGTTATTCCCACAATGCACCACTGGCCAGGTGAGTGTGACCTGGATTCTGACTCAGGACAAACCTGGGGAAGCTGAGAGACGGTCCACACAGCATCCACTCTGTCTACCCCTCCTGGGCTCAGTAAAGGGTGCTGCCTGGCTTGGAGTCGGGGAGAAGATGTTTATCTCCTTATCTTGGGGTGGTATTGGGTCAGAGTTCCAGGACTGAACCCTAAAAGCTGCCTGAAGGGGCAGTTTGAGTACCTAGACCAGACCACCACTTAACACAAACAACACTTCCATAAAAACTAGGAAAAGGCACACTCACCAGGAGCGACAAACCCAAAAACACCCCCTCTAAGCCAGTGAACTTAGGAAAGGGCCCCTTCTCCAGGGCGGGCCTGCCTGCTCCTCCCCGTGGCTGCCTTACCCCACCATGCCTTGGTTCTATCAGGGTTTCTCCCCACCTTAGCCAGTCAGCGCTCTCTCCCCCACCGGTCCTAAGGGACAAGTGCACCAACCTCTCTGGGCTTCTCAAAACCGAGATGTTTCCAGGGTGAGAAAGGGAGCAGGAAAAAGTTGGGGTGGTGCCTTAAGGCTCTGAAACCCTGAACTAGGGCAGAGCTAGGGAAGCATCTCAATGAAGCTGCCGACATATTCTGGGCCTGGAGCCAGCAGCACACCAAACCTGCGAGGGAGACCCGGGCCGTGCCAGGCTGGCAGGGCTGCCAGACTCGGGGCTGGAGAGCACAAGCCACCACCCAGCCATTGTGGCCACAGAGATGCCCCAATGGCAGCAGAGGCCGAGGGCATGAGGGCCATGGGAGGCAGATCCTGAGCCTCCCTTCAACTTAGCGACACACGCTGAATCCTGCCAAGGCCTGCTGGTAGCTAGATTGCCCGGAGGGATCAAGCTTCTCGTTCTCTTTCTCCCAACAACACCCTGCCTGTGGGGGCTGCAGAGGCGCCAGTCGACAAGTCCTCCATCAAGTCCATGAACCTCAGTCCTTCAATCCTGTTGCTCATTAGAATCACCTGGCCCTGAAAGTGATCCAACTTCAGGGGCCCACCAGCATTCCCTCACTCTGGAGTATTCACTTATTTATTATTTTAGGCTCCAGGTAGTCTTCTGAGCTGCCAGCCAGGGTCAAGAATTTCTGAATCGATTATGACTTCCAAGGGCAGATCCTCTCTCCAGAAAGCACTCTAAGATCAATGAAGTTTGAGAAATGCTTTCATCGTAGCTCCTCTTGGTGATTCAGAGACTACACGGGTAAATCCAAAGCATCCTTTCCAAGCCAAAGGAAAAAAAAAACTTTACTCTGGAAACTGTTGGGGCCAGGGGTGGGGGGCTGTGTGTGTGATGTTTGTGCCAATATTACACATGTATAACATTGTCCCTGTTTCATAAACAGGACTCCAAGAGGTTAAGGAATTTGCCTGATGTCATCACCATGGTTAGCGTGATGGAGACTCAGGGCTCTCTGCTTCACATATTGCCCCCACTCAACACCCCCTGAATGCCTCCAGGATCGGGCATCTCGCTGGCTTTGCCTGGGGGTTGGGGGGCTTGAGGTGGGGTGGGGGCAATGCTGCACACAGGCCACTCTCCAGGCTGGACTCCTGTCTCTGCAGTCAGACCCCAGCCCTGTGGAGGGCGAGGAGCTTCCGCTCCTGTCCAGCACCCGCAGAATAGAGCTGGCAGGACCAGCGCCCTGGTGGGGCTGCTCAGTGACCCGCCTGTGCCCAGATGCTCTTGGCCCAGCGCAGGCTCTCAGTCCCCTCTGCTCTCTGTCTCCCCTGGGGGCAGGGAGGCAGAGTTATGAATTCCCAATTCTGCTCCTGAAGGTCAATATCAACATGGCTTTCCCAACATAGAAGGGATCAATCCCTCAAAAACAGTGGTGGAATTGAAGGTACCAGGGAAGGTTCCTGGGGAGAGGTGCTGCAGGTTGTGAGACCTTCCTTCAACAGAGCTTTAGGACTAGCAAACTCCAAAACCCAGGCTGCTGTCCCTGCTCCCCACCAGGTACCTGCTCCCTGCTCCTCAGGCCAGGGCAATTGTTCCCTCTTTCAAAGAAATTGCCCTGCACCCAGGTCACTGCGTTACTTTAGTGAAAGAGAGCTCCCAGAGCAGTAAAACCCAAATCCTGCGGTGTAGCCTAGACGCAAAGCATTTCTGAGTTCTCAGAAACTGCAGGAAGACATATGTGGGAAAGTCTCTAAGAGCATGTTCATTTTTCTCTGGCTAAATCTAATTAAGATGAAACCTTAGCTTCCTCCGGAGTCTGACGCATGCCATCAGGCAGTTCCTGAGAAAGGTTTTGTGAGAACTCTCTAGCTTCCCCGAGGCAAGCCTCACTCATATTGTGTCCCATTCTCTCTAGATTATTTCAGCAACAAATCAATGTCTTCCCATGAGATACGTGGATGATAAGCCTCTGTTTCCTAGTGACATCTATGAACTAAAGAGCTCCCATCAACACCCCCCCCCCATATGGGGATCTCTAAATCCACCTGACTACTCTTCCTTATTCCCTAAACAGACCAGCCAGAGGGAAGTAGGACAGGCAGTCAGGATCAGAGAGGAAGGGATTGGGGGGCCAGGAGATAGGCCACGGGTGTTATGGGATGACATGAGCAAGGTACAGGTGGAGTAATAACTCACAGTCCAGAGAGGCAGGTCTGTGTCACCTGGGTACCTGGGAAGTCTGGAGGAGCCCCAGGTGCCAGACAAGGATGATTTTAGATGAGAGACCCTCCAACGCAGGTCTAACTGGCTAGCACCTCAGAACCTATAAGAGCTGGCACCTTGACGTGGCAGAATAATCATACACATACCAGGTTCTTCCCTATGAACTTTGTTTATCAGCTTACTTCATTATTCCCCTTTTATAGGTGATGTAAGTGAGGTAAAGGATGAGGGAACCTGCCAAGAAGCATATCATCGGTCTGTGGTAGAGTCAGGACTTGAACCCTCTCAGTCCGGCTCCAGAGTCTATGCATTAGACCACCACACCACAACTCACATACAGGGATCAGAATCCAGTTATAGGATTGGGCAACTCCAAATTTCGTGGCTTAAACCATCATCAATTTAGCTCATGATCTGCAGTCTGGGCAGGGCATGATGGGATAGGTTCCGCTCTACATGACAGGAGGACCCACTGGCAAGATGACTCACGTATGCGGTTAACAAGTGAGGACGGCGGCTGGCTGAAAGCTCACTCAGCACTGGGAGTCCAGGCCTGGTTCCTCTCCACAAAGGCCTCTCCACAGCTGCTCAGGTTCCTCAAAGCAGGGAACTTGGTTTCTGAAAGTGAGAATCCCAAGACACAGGCAATGGAAATGACAGTTTGTTAGGCCCAGGCATGGTGTCACTTTCACCATACTCTATTGGCTGAAGCACTTATATATCCCTGGTTCAAGGAAGTGGATATAAACATCACCTCCAAATGGAAGAAGGGTCAGAATTTGGGGACCATGTTTTAAAACTGCCTCACTGGGCCTTGGATCCAGAGGAAGGACTGGGTCTCGGGAATGAGGAAGCAGCAGCTAACTCTCTGTGCTTGCTCAGAAAAGAGCAGAGGACGGGCGAATGGACACGGCGCACCAGACACACACGTCTCCAGTGTGCGCGAGGCCTCGGCTCTCACAGGCATTACTCCATTTACCTTTGCAACAACCGTCACACAGATTTTCTCACCATTCTTTATCACTGAGCACTCTTAGGCTCAAAGAAAGTCACGCAGCTGGTAAATGGCAGTTTATCTAATTCCAGAGTTGAATCCTTAACTCCTCCAGAGGGCGGCCCCCAGATTGAGGAGCAATGGAGAAGAGCAGAAGGGCAAGGAGCCAGGCTATCTCCACACCCACTCGCCTCCTTCAGACGCCCTCCCAGGTCAGGGACTGGCTCCAAAACAGCCTGTCCCAGGGCACCTCTTCCCTCTGGTGCCTCCTCTCAGACTGGGGCGTGGGCACGTACAGACCTAACTCCTTGGCCCTGTCTCCCAAGCTGTGTTTCTCCACCCTGAACAGTTCCCGAAATCCTCCCTCTATTTCCTTGGAATCCCCCCGGAAGATTCTCCTCCCCCGTCTCTCTCTTCACGTAAGCTGAGAATTACCAGCATAAGACCTTCAATTTTGTTCGATAACATTTTTTATCGTAGAATAGTTTTAGGTTTATAGGAAAACCAAAGAAGGTTCAAGAGCTCCCATAATCTCCAAACCAATTTCCCCTCGTATTCTCATCTTACATTAGTAAGGCACATTTGTCACAATCCATAAACCAATATTGATAAATTATTATTAGCCTTACAATATTGCAAATGCTATTATTAAAATGTAAGTCCATACTTCAGCTTTCCTTAGTTTTTTTACCTAATGTCCTTTTATTTATTTTTTTAACTCCCCAGGCAACCACACTATGTTTAGTTGTCAGCTCGCCTTGGGAACCTCTCGGCTGTGACAGTTTGTCAGACTTCCTTTGTTTTTGATCATTTTGACAGTTTTGAGGTTGTTTGGGAAAATGTCTTTCTAGCTGGCCTTGACTGATATTTTTCAGCTGGTTAGACTGGAACTATGGGTTTGGGGGAGGAAGACCACAGAGGTAAAGTCATCGAGTGTCAGGGGTTTAGGCTGCCAGTGGGACCTAGCACGTCTAGGCCAACCCTGACGTTTGTCACGTCTCTCCACTAGAAAGTTACTCTTCCTTCCTGTTTCCAATCTGCATGTTTGGAAGGAAATCACCATGCAGACCACATTTTAAAGTGGGGAGTTGCACTCCTCCTCGAGGCCAAAGTGTCTACGTAAATTACTTGGAATTCTTCTGCACCATTTTGCTTCTTCTCCCCCTCTTGCTTATGTAATCATTTATTTATGCAAGCATGCATTCAGGAAAATTTATTTTATGCTTTGGGAAATGATCCAATACTACTGTATGGATGAGGTTGCTCAAATTGTTCCAGCTTTGGTCATGGAAGCGCTTTTAAGTGGCTCCTGTGTCCCTTGACATGCACCCCATCCTTTTTTTTTTTTTTTTTGTCAGCATCTTCATTTTTCCTGGCACTGCCAGATGCTTCAGGTTTCTCTTCCTGTATATTTGCTATCCTGGTCCTAGAGTCAGTCATTTCTCTGAGGATCCAGTGGGTCTCAGCATCGCCCAGTGACCATGGCCTGTGGCACCTGAAGAGTTGCCTGGAAGCTGTGGTGGGAACTTGCCAGTACACACAGGCACCCTCTATGTGAAAGCACCTTGCCCTCAATTCAGTTCTCCAACATTACCAACTCAGAGGTCTCCTGACTCCCCTTCTCACCTAGCTCCAGACTCCCCTTCCTGCTTGTGAGGTTTTCCACAGCTCTTCTTGCCATCTGACACCTCTGTTTCCCAATTTATTTACCTGCCTCCTCCCCCATTAGAATGTAGTACAGAAATTTCTGTTTTGTTTCTGGTTTTCTCCCTTGTGCCCTAAAACACATTCTGGCACAGAGGAAGCACTCAATAAATATTTATTGAATGAATGAATGAACTGGGGGGGTGGGGGGCAGGGCTTAAAATAGCAAAAGAATCTGCTCCATAGCCTCCCCAGCACCCCTTGAACATGCATTCCGAATTATTCTAGAGGGGCAGTTGTCCAGACTCACAAGTGACAGATCCAGACCCATGCCAAGGATAACCTGGACTGTCTCCTTAGCCAACCCTGTTGGGACTGCTGGCTGCCCCAAGGCCAATGTTGCTTCTGGCCTGGTCACAGGCCACCATCAGCTGGGCCTCCTGGGTCCACTCAGCCTGCGGCACTCACACATGGCTGTCAGAGCCTCCCTCCCACCTTCCCTGGACAGCTCACTTTGGGGGTTACCCCAGAGCTTCCCCTCAAACTGAAGGGGCCAGAACTCAGGGGTCCCTGGCAGGAAAAACCAAGAGGGCCTGAACCCCCAAGATGGACACTGAGGGCCCAGGTTGAATCCAGACCATGGGAAGACATAGGCAACAAAGAGACAGAGACAGAGAGCCTCAGGGTGCATGGGGGAGCGAGAGGAAGGAGAGAAACAGGAAAAAGAGAGGGAGGGAGACACATAGAGGGGGACAGAGAGGAACACACTCAGAGGGAGAACCAGACAGTCGGGGAGCCGGCCCAAGAGACTGACAGGCGGAGAGACAGAGAGGACAAGAGAGCAGAAGACGACTCAAAAAAAAAAAAAAAAAAAGGAGCCGCGGAGGGGCGGGCGGGCGCGGCTGAATCGCCCTCTGTTCTCGGCGCGCACTGAGGGGCTTTCTTCGCAGCCGTGGGAAAGTGGTGGGCGAGCGCGCGCCGCGACCGCCATGTGGACGATAATTAGCCGGATTAGGGCGGGAGCCCGCGCTGGCCCTGCCGACTCGGCCGGGAACAAAAGGCCCCTCTTTGCCCGCGCAAACGGCAGGGTCGCGAGGTCACCGGGCAGGGTCCGCCAGGAGCAGGCGAAGGGTCTCTTGCCCACAGAATGAGGCCTCTGTGCACCTGGCCGGGGCCAGTGCAGGCCTGCAGCCCCGCTTTGGGGTCCAGACTAGGGAGTAGGGGACAGTGCAGGGAGGAAGAGGGGAGAGAGGCAGGGGCCAGAGCAGTCTTAGTACAGGCACCACGGCGTGGTAACATTTATTGAGCACCTACTGTGTGCCACTTCCATGCCAAAGTTGATCTCACCAGGTAGACTCCTTGTAAGACCTCCTGAGTGACCCTGTAGTGCCCGATTTTACAGGTGGGGAGGGAGGTGCAGCAACTGTCACTTGCCCAAGGTCTCAACCGTAGGATGGTACCTGACACATTCTCCCACCCAGGGTAACTCAACAATTATGTGATGAATGAATGAATGACTGGCTTGGCCCTGACCCCACCCTTGTGAGGTCACCAACATCCTGGAGCTTTGGGTAGTAGGAGTTCCGGCTGGACATGGCAGTCTATTCCCTTCAGGGAGGTCCACGCAGGGGGTTGTTAGTACTGACATTGCCACCCGCAGCGCAATGCAGGGGACTCTGGTCACAAGGGTCGGGGGTTCGAGGGGTATGACCATTTGGTTTCCTTGCCAGCGGCCCCAGCACAAGGTACCTCCCTTGGGGATCTTTGTCCAAAGCCTCTGGGCTCCTCCAGTATACAGGGCAGCATAAAGGACTGGTGATGCCACAGAGGGGTGGGAAGGGGACCCCAGACCTTCCCCTGCCACCCAACCCTCACCAGCTACGCCAGAGGGTTAGTCCCATTGTTAAATGCAAAGCCTTCTCTGGGCTGTGGGCATCAGGCCTCGGTGACTGAACATCTCTCCTCATAGGCGGTGTGGCCAGAGGGCAGCCCCTCCTGCCTGCTGTTCCTGCAGGTGAGGAGAATGGGAAAAGTGGACAGGTGGGCCTGGTGTAAGTCATGATGGATGGTGGAAAAAGGCAATGTCTTTGGTAAAAATGGCAGTGACCTCTCATTCATGCCTTTAGAACCACACTGGCCAGGTCTGAGCTTCTCAGAAGAGAGAAGTTACCTCCTTTCAGGTGGGATTTCCAAGTTTCAAAGTATGCTGTGGGCCACACTAACACAGGAGTGGGCCTGATCAGGCTGCAGGTTGGCAGTTCACAGCCTCCTTCTGAGATGTAGCATTGGATGAAAGAACAGCCCACCCCTCGCCCTCCAGCTCTCCTCACTTCTCAGAGTGAGAAGGAAGTTCAGGATGGGTGTGGGAGGATGCCCAGCCCCTGCCCAGGCCCCTGCGCCCTGCATCAGGTTGTCACCAGGATGGACAGGGTTCAGACAGGACGTCGCCAGGCTGCAGCGGTCTGGTGACCAGGCGCACGGCCAGGAGACAGAGGTCATCACCTCCAGCCACACCAGGGGAAGCCCAGTGAACCATCAAATGAGGGTTTTCTCCTGGGACATCAGCACTGGAGTGTGAACACTGCCACACAGGAGGAGGAAACGCCGGCTTCCGCCCAGCTCTTCCTCACTCCCCACCTCGTTCATTCTCAAACTTCTGGTCAAGCGTAGAGTTACTGTTAGCCCCCTTCTCGGATGAAATTATTAGGGGGAAAAGGCAGTCCCAAAGCAAATTCCATATAGGCTTTGTGGACTCCACCCCCACCCCAGGTCAAAGCCAAAGACACTGGGAACTCCAAATCCCATCACCACCAAAGGGAAGGTGGCTGGGACCTGAGGGTGGGGTTAAGCAGCCAGGTGAATACAAAAGGCAGACACGTGGGCTTTGGGATCCCCCATTTTGGCTCTCCGCCAGCTCGCAGCGTCCGGCCAGCTCTGAGAGTGACTTTGGGTTTCCAGGTTGTCGGATCGGGTAGGACGCATTAAAGACTTTATTTCCCTATTTTCTCCCTGAGTTGTACATTTTCCTTATTTCTTTTTCTCTTGTAAATAAACCTTTTATTAACCCTTTTGCGTGTGTCTGTAGTGGAGTATTCATAAGTCCCTTTAAAGCGCGCGGGTGAGGACCCACAGCCAGGAACCCGTTTAATATCGGGGCTGCTCTATAACAAAATGATGCAGAACAGAGCCTGAGTTATTTGTCTGAAGGGGGCCAGAGTGAGCATCTTGGGACATGAATTGATGGGGTTCCGACTTTGAGATTTATCTGACATGTTTCTTTAAAATGAAGGTGAAATTCACTTCCGCTTTGTAACATAACACATGACTACTTTGATATGAACATGATGGCAGCTTCTCCTCCCGTAATTTGTAAACCTGACCTTGGGAAAGTGAGTCATTGTTTATCCTGTGACATCTTGAACCCCTGCCACTTCATGGTGAAGCCGCAGCAGTCTGCATCTTCAACAGAGAGTAACCCAGGAGGGGAGCCCACCCTCGCGTTCACAGTAAGGCGAAGCCGAGCCCAGTGCCCTGCCTTTCTTGGAGACATAAAAGACATGAAGGAGCATTGGTTGCTGTCATGTTTCTCCTTTCTTCCTTATTGCAAGCTGGAGGGACAGGGGCCCTCTAGCCTCCTTGGGGGCTTAGGGGGCACACCTGTGGCTCAGAGCTGAGTCCCTGAGGAGCTGCCACTTGTTTAGCAGCAGATCCAAACTCTGGTTAAGTCAGAGCTCAGTCTCCTCTCTTGTCATCCCTCCGTGACCTCCATGTTCTCTCCTTGTTACAGACCCAAACTTCAACCACCACAGCCGCTGCCTCTCTCTTCTAAGAGGGTCAGGCCCGTATGGCAAAGCACTCCTGACCCCCGGGCATGGGTCGAGGATGGGGAGGACCTTATGCCCCAGGGAATTGCTAAAAGAGCAATTCAGGACTCGAAGGCCAAAGGGGTGAGAACATGGAGAAAGGGAGGGGTACTAATCCTTCACCCATGGGGCAGCTCTGTCCCATGCTCCCTGAGGTCGGCTTGAACCCAAGGAAGGAGCCTCCGAACCAGAGAAACTAGAGAACTAGAATAGAGAACTTTCTCCTTTCCCAGCATCAACCACCAGGGCTTGCCAGGCCAGTAGTATGTTGTGGGGGAGTCTGAGGGCTTCTTCCACCTCTTCACCAACACTTTTCCCTTCCGGTAGCTGATGATGGTGGTTTCAGCGACAACCAGACTGGAATACCTAAGGCATGGTAGATGCTGGCTTCCTCATATACAGTGTTGGAAACCAAAGTTAATTTAATTTAAAAAATTACTTAAAAAATAAAATACTTACTTCCTGCCCCCACCTCCGCCCCATCAGATTGAAGAACATGCCTAGGGAAAAGGACTACTCAAAAGAAAACCCACTTTCTGGTGAGAAAGCCCTCAGAAACGTTAGAAATGTCTGGACCTGTTACAGAGTGTGATCAAATTTCCAAAGCTCCGCGTTCCCAGTCAGGCCCAGAACATTTAAGTCACAGAGTTCATCTATTTGCCTTTTTTTCCACTTTGCATGTAAACCAGCTCAGGAGCTCAAGTTCCCCCCTCAGGAAGCACCGGGAGGTAGCTAAGCCCCTTCCACCAGTGAAAAGGGAGAAATTTCATCCAAGGCTTAAGACTAATTACATTGACCATTTATTCAAACCTCCATCCTTGAGAAAACCAAATTCCCACAAGTGTCTCCCCTCCACCTCCCACAGCTACCCACCCTACCTCACTACATCTTCTGCATCACAAAGATGTGCACAGGTCTCCCAGCCTAGTGCACTAGAAACTGCCAGCTGGGGATGGATGCCCAGACAGGCCTAAGACTCAGCACACAGAAGGGGGACACAGAAAAATCTTCTGTACTTTGTGATTTGACATCACGGTTGTGGAGCTACACTGTGGAAAGATGGGTTTGTGGAGTCAAAATGCTGTAAGCTACGAGCTCAGGGCCTGACCCAGGCAGCCTTTGAGTCCCAAAAGTGCAGACTCCAGGACTAGATTCCAGCCAGATTTTCTGAGGGAGTCCTGGGGGTGGCGGGTCCAGGTCAAAGGACTATCAGCTCCTCTGGGACAGAGCTTCAGGCCTGTGGTGGCATGGGAAGAGCTTTTTATACAGCCTTGGACCTGACTCGTTGGGTATGAAGATGTGGGAGATCCATCCTCAAAGCTGAGAAGGATCGGAAATATACTAAATTATAAAATTGGGATCCAAAAAGGTTTGGTCAGACTAGGTTGGTAAACCCCATTTTAAAAAGTGAGTCGAAGAGAATTCAACAACAAGATTTGTTTAAGTGTTCTGGAAAATCACCTGCCTCAGCACAGGTGAAAAACTAAAAGATTTGGTATTCAGCTTGGACCAATCCGCTGTGTGAAGAATCCACACCAGACAGCAAGTGTGATCTTCAGATGCCTGGAGACAAGTCCTGTTCTGTGGCATTTCACAATCCAGTACATCCCATTAAGGGATTTCTTGTCAGTCCTGAGAGAAAGTCCCATGTGAAATACTTGGGGCATATTAATTCAGATTTCTACCCCACTCTGTAGGGGTGTGACTTGGAATTATGCATTTTCAACCATCTTCCAGGTGATTTCTGAGAGCATTTTCAGCTCTGCTTCTCTCTTTAACCTCTTAGCAGGACTGTCCTACCTCATCAAAGCAAGAATATCCCCTGCCAGCAAAACTTCCCTCTATGCTGGAAATTCCACTAATGGAGCTTGTCCTTTTGGGTTAGCTGGGACACTGCCCCTACAGAGGGAATTGTCAGTGAAGATTTGATCCCAGACAAAGAACAAGGCTTCACCCTAGAGCCGGAGGGCCACCATTCAGCTCTGCCTGGAGCTGTGAGAAATAAGCCATTTGTTCCTGGCTGGCTAGCTGGGACACACCCAGGCTTTGGAGGAGCAGCCTGACCTGAGTGTGAATCTTGCTCTGGCCTTTAGCAGCTGTGAGCCCCTGAGCGCTGATTTCAGCTTCTCTCAGGCTCAGATTCCTCCTCAGAGATAAGAACACACTCCTTACCCAGTTGTTCTGAGTAGATAATGCAGTAAAGGCCCTGAGTGTTCAGTTGCTTATTGAGTGTATAAATGGGTAAATGATGGATGGATGGATGGATGCATGGATGGATGGATGGATGGATGGACTGTCACTGGTAATTCTCTCTTGTAGACAATCAGCCTCTAACTCTGAATTGATTCTCCCCAGTTCCTGCCCCAGTGTAAGCCCCTGATGTCTCACAGGTACCTTAATGTGAAGCCCAAGTCATGCCTTCTGGGAAAAGTCACTCTCCTTCCTTTTCCCCCTCCCTCCAAATGCCTCTCGCCCAGCCCCCATGCTAGGGTCTTTCTGTCTGGAATTAGGTCTCAATTAAGTGCAGGGACAAACCTGTTGCAGGTTACCCCAATATAGGTCACAGCATGCTGCTGATTCTGGCTCAGTTGCCTTTGGGAACAGCCCATCTTCAGGATTGCTGGAACTTGCAGAGTAAAACTAGCTGTATGCAGCATGAATCCT